TTATTTACCATATTTTATTGGAAAACATCTCTGAAACTCTGAAAAAGTCATATTGCTAGTTTACCATAAAAGGCCAATTCGACCAGTTGATTGAGCATATTTTCAAAAAAGTAATTACACCCTTGTTACAAAAATGTTTTGTGCATCAAGTTATATAATTCTGTTCAGTAAGTGCTCTGACACTAAAATATGTCAAAAATGATATGGTTACCTTACAAAAGTTGACCAAAAAGAGTAATTTCTTCAGGAGTGATTTTTAGCATGCCAACTTTCTCAGTGGAAGATAGCTGAAGGGCTTTCTGTTCGAACCACAGTGACATCTAGAGGTTTTTTTTGTGCATAACATGTCAACCAAACGATAGAGCTGGCTGAATCAGATGGACTTACACTTTTTTATTTATTTTTCAACAAGATATTAAAACACAAAATGTGCTCTACCAAATGGTGGCGCTGGCTGCTAAAGGTTAAGACAGCATCATCATAAGAGGCCAACAAGAGTGACAGGGTGTGTCACTTTTCTGAAGGATAGACCAGCAGGATATTCTCTGAAGATTTCCCATGGGGTAAAAGCTGCTGCTGGAGTACTGACTGGAAGTAGTGCTGATATCATGTCTACCATATCCTCTTAAAATACTCTGTCCAACAATATAAGTCGAATGACACATTTTTATTTAGGATGCATTCTTGTACTAAGGGGGGGGAATTTGAAAAAGAATACCTGAAAAAGTACTTGTTGGTGTAGTTAAATTAGTATACTGAGTCAAACAGTAGGCTATCACTCTCATTGAATTCTCAAATAAAACATAAACAGTGTAGTATTTCTTTTTTAGTAGACTACACTACTGGATAAATGGGTCTTTGATTTTCCTGCACAAGTTTTGTAAGACATTGTCAATGGATGTTTTGCTTTTCTTAAATGCGACCACCATTTTAATTAGAAAAAAACCACCGGTCATTGTGTAATACAAAATGAACATTTATATGTGAAGTATTCCTTATTTATAAGTTAGAGCATTTTTTCAACCAATAAAGAAACACTCAATCACAGTTTCAAAACTCATTACAGAATCACCAAATTCAAAGTTACATGGTTAAATATAGTTGATTATACATTTAAATCTACCTAACTTTATGAGTTAAGTCAGTACATTTTTTGGGGGAAAACAATATATAACTGAGTATAAACAGAAACACAGAAATATGTTGACTTCAATTACGGTAAGTGACGCTTGTGTTTAATTGTAGAGGACTGGACAGGAGAGACGCTCACCAGTGTCTTCTACACCGGAGACCTCCTGCCCCTCGAGGCCTCTTACGGTACGTCCAGCGCCATATAGATAGAAGAGTTACGACAGCGGAAGTCCAAAATGCTTGATCGTCACGTGGTTCAGGGAGAGTCAATAGTTCCCCGGAAGTTCGTGGCGGGACATATGAATGCATGATTACCGGAGATAGAACTACGATTTTTGGTAATAAGTAGTGAATAAAGGTCTTGATTTGCAATATTTATACAACATACCGATATGTGTATGTATTTACATCAATGTTTTAAAAAATAAATAGAATCTGCTAATATTTATGGATAATATTAGGAATAGTGTGAACAGCTAGTTTACTTGTTAACATATACATGTTAGGCTGTTGCCTTGGTTAAAGAGCCTGTTGCTGTTGTGTATTGCTTTGAATTATTTAAAACAAATATTATCTTCTTAAACAGGTATGGTAGTCAGGAGCATCACTTCCTAATGTTTATTGATATATTTAGAGGGAGGGGATAGCAAGGAATGCTTCAAAATTTAGATTAGATTAATTTCTACCATTTTTTTAATTCATGGTGGTTTCAGTAATCCCATGGTACTTGAGGACATAAGTAATCTAAATGACTAATGTCATCTGTATGACTTTCAGAAAGGACAGGAGACCAACAGGTGACTATCAATGGACTAGCAGCAACATGATTATGACGTTAAAAGTGTTGTTTTAGGAACATCCATTGTAAATACATGGAATTCAATAAACATTGAATAGCATGTCATGCAGTTTGTCTGTGCCTTTTCCTCCGTGTTGTCCTGGCATATCGTCTCCACCATGGATTGCTGTGCTGCCTGGGGATGCTCCAATCGCTCAGAGAAAGGAGTAAGAATCAGAATGTACGGCTTCCCCACTGACACAGAGAGGAGGAAAAAATGGCTAGCTCAAGTCAGCAGGAGCAATTTAACAATCAAAACAGACAGCCGCAACAAAATATGTGAGGTAATCATATTCAAACACTGCATTTGCACTTTTTCCACAAAACGAAGACCACACCATTGGGAAGCTTAATGTTTGGTTTAATACAAATAACAGGGAAAGGCTTGAAAAACTCTGAGAGTTGAGACTCAGGGTGCAGGGTGAGGGTCTCAGTGCAGGTATTCAGGCTCTATTGAATCCCCCTCTGGTTCTTGTGCTGAAAGAGGGAGAAACAGACAGGAGAAAGGGTTATACACACCTATATAGCACACCTATTGGATGGGAAATTGCCTTGGGGAGATAAGGTGTGGTCTTTGTTTCCAACTGAAGTTATGGAACTTTATTATTTGTGAGTTTAACAAAGTATGACAAATGGCATTAGTAATGGATGTGATATGAATTTGTATAAAGTTGTCTCACATTCTTGGTCATATTTTACGTACAGTATGTAATGAGTGTATACATGTCCAGTAAGTCCTCCACCTGTAACATCACTGCCCCTCCACCTGCCATACAGTAGGTTACTAATATACACTAACAAGATTACTTATATAATACAGTGATAGAATACATGTTTAGTATGCTTACTTATATACAACAGTAGTATTAAATGTACCTTGTGTTTTCACTCTCACTTTGCCATCATTTCAAAATCAGCTGAGCTGCAACATAATACAGACAGGTAATAATCAACAGAATACACTAAAAACACTCACCCATAAATTACGTTTTTGTTTACTGTTTGGAAGTCTCAAATATGCACTCTAAATTAATATCAATAGCGATGTATCACACAAATAGCTCTCTTCCTTATTATTGTGTAACGTTAACTTTATTATACTAGTTTGTAGGTCTACTCCAAAATGGAGATCGTAATTTCTCCACCTCCACTCATTACAATCACACGTGCCCCAATGTTATATTTAACTAATATTATATTCCTCCACCCCACAAAAGAATCACGTTTAGAAGCCCTTTTTCTCTAATTCCACAACGTTGGATGAAATAACATTAGGAGAACGGATTAATAGCTGTTCATGGTTACCGTGTGTTGCTAACTTTATCCGGTATCCTAGCCTAATCTGTTATCTGTAAACGTTCCCTAAATCTACTGATTTAGGGATAATCCACTAACATCCTTTAATACACATGTTCATTTGACTCAGATGTGCTGATAATATCTGCAATATAAATCTTTAAACGTCTTCTTACCTTTAAAAGTCCATCACGAACGGTCTATTATGCTGCAACTCTACTGTGTTGCTGGTCGCAAAAGTTCCCCGGAAGTCAGCGGCAAGCTAACTTCCGGGGAACTATTGACGGCTGCACGATCCGCCATTGCTGTAAAAAAACTGGTCCATTGGAGTGAACGGAGATGTCGTAACTCTTCTATTATACGGCTCTGGGTACGTCTACACAGCAGCGTTAAAAAAATCTTGGAGGTGGGCGTATCTGAAGCTTGGGGATTTTTTGCGAACAACCAATCACATGAATCTCCCGCCCGCGACATACGAAGCAAAAAAGCCCGAAGTAAACTGGATATAAACTCCCCAAAACAGGCGAAAACATACCACTGTCTCTGCCACCTCCCTCCATGCCTGGCTCCTCCGGTTTATATCCCGGTAGGTCTGGTCATAAAGCACCGGGTGATTGATTCGCTACCGCTAATTTCTCCTCCATTTTTTGGAATATGAGGAAATGACCTGCGGTATGTCTCTCCCAGCATACACGCCGTTTGATTGGCTAGAGCTTGAACTGTCAGATTTGCGTACACGGGATTTGATTGGCTGACGCTTCCACCTCAGCCTCAAAAGTTGAACATTGTTCAACTTTGAATCCTGAAAATCCTGAAAATCTCCGCTCGCCTGCCCACAATGCATTTCGGCAAAAAGTGAGGGAAAGTGACGTCACCCCATTCAAAGTGAATGGGCAGAAGCGTTTCAAGATTTTTTTAACGCTGCTGTGTAGACGCATCGTTAAACAGCGTCCAGTAGTTTCTGGAGTCTCTTGTTCTCCTCTTTGGAAAGAGAGAGCTCCTCCTCGTACTCTGCTATCGTTTTTTCAAACAAAGCAAATATATCTTCAGCAGCAGCAGTGAGTCGCTGCTTCTTCAACAACAGCAGCATTTGGACTTATTAGATTTGTATCACTTGCCAGCAATGAATATCTTAAGTGCTTTGACAAAAAATCCATAAAAAAATGTCATCTGTGGAAGCCGTAGTACTGTAAAAAGCACGACCAATCATTTTAGCCAGCCCGGCTAAAATAACTGGATGGCCTACCTGCCTGTCAGCCTTCCATCTGTGTACAAACTTATCTCGTGCCCTCATTGGTCATGTGCGCGTTCGTGTGTGTTGGAGGAGGGGCTCTGTAAGGAAGTGGCAGATTTTTTCCGGCTGTGTATTTTCAAATTCTAGCGCACTCGAGCTGGTTTCTCCAAAATTACCTACCCCACCTTTAATATTTCTTGCTGCTTAAGTAATCAAGTTACTTAATTAAGGAAACATGTAAATATAAGGATAAATACTTTCTAAAATGAATTTTCCATGCTGTCTCTGTACAGCCAGATCAATGTAACAGTGATGCTTACCTCAGCATTTGGACTGAAACAGTACACATGTGAGAGGAATGTGCTAAATGTAAGCTTTAAGAATATTTTAGAATGTTGACGCTGCCCATGGAGTATATGTATACAAATAAATGGCTATTATTTCAACATTGGATTTGGGTGTAAATGCCCTCAACTCAAAGCTAAAGGAAAACAATGATTAATTCTGTATACTAATCATCAGATGGATAAATGTCGATGGCAGTGATGATGTGTGTCGATGTTGCGACGATACATGCTCCAGCTACTCTCCCACCGGTCAAACAAACCTCGGAAGTCTGATCCCTGAAGGTAAACTGTAAATCCTACAGTTGTATAACTTTCATAATCTGTGATCTGTCTGTGAAAACTGTCCCAACTAAATATGATTTGTCTCTCTCTTTCATTTTTATTCCTGTTTCAGATTTGGTGGCACGTGAAACTGTTACTCTGGGCCCTTTGATGGTTTTGCCATACAAGTAGGCGAAGCATAACAATCCAGACAATAAAGGATTCAATATTTGTCTATCAATCTCACCCTCCCTGACCAAACTTCAGCGTAATACTGTATAGCTTAATACTAGCAAAACGATTATTTTAATGATTGTTTAGTAAGGAATGTTTATACAACATAAACATTAAAGAAACAAGAATGTTTAGTCTTTACTGTTAATAAAGCTCTAACATGGCTCTAAACAAAGCCACACAACTGGTCTGATGAAACATCCCCGTAAATAAAAACAGATTACACTGAATGAACATTACATGTTGATGTCAGGATAGACGCGTATCAGTGTTTGAAAGAGGAAAATAAAATGTGAATTTCTCTTACCTTCAAAAAGCTGAATGAAAATAAGAATGCATGCCAAGCTCGTCTTCATGGCCTTTTCACTTATGAACTCACTAATAAATACCAAAGCTGACTCACATTGTACTCTTTCCTTCAGTCTTTGTGAGGTTTTGTGGACAGCCTCACTTTATTTATTGTTCTTCACCTCTGAGCAGGAAGGGGAAATCAAAGCAAGAACAGCCGTTGAAACGCTGCAGTTGGTTTTGCACACACTGATGTTTAACTGAATTTGAAATAAAACTCAGGATGTTATGCATCAGACTTTAAAACTTGTATCCACTGGATTAACACCACTAATGTGTACAGTTACACAAACAAACCCTTCTCAAAAAGTTTTTCTCAGTATTTGTTAGCAATATAAACATTGCTCCCCACGATATATAACACTTTTTTATAGTATCCTAGTAAGTCTTCTTATAGCGATCCTGTTATTGATATTATCAAGTGAGAAAAGAAGATATGATAATATCACTTTCATGATGTATCACCGGATATGTCTGGTGTCTGCAAGATGAGTGTGAAAGTGCAGGTCAGGAGGAGAGTCATCAGCAGCAAAGGGGTGGATATATATTAGAAGTTAGTGTCCTGTAAACATGTATGATAGTTTAAAAACAGTTTAAAAACATAATAAAATGACACCATAGACCACAATAATAATGTGATAGTGTGTACAAATTAAGGATCCAGGGGGATGTCAAAATGCTTCCTGCATGGTTTTCATGAACTGCAACAATAACATTTTATCTCAATCAGCCTCATGTCTTGAGTTCAGAGTGTGCAGCCAATTAAGCTGATGGGTGTCTGATTGGATGCAGGTGTGCTGCTCTGATGAGGATAATGATCGGCTAGAGTTTAAAAAGCTCCACCGCTCACACTGAACCATACTGTGAGTCAGTCAGGAAGACAGAGAGCAGCCGACCAGTTTCCTGTCATCAGTTTCACTTATGGAGGCCTTTCATTTTCAGGTTATCCTCCTTGTAGGACTCTGTGTTAGCTCCTCTTTTGCTTTCCCGCCCACACACGATGCTTCATTCCAGAGCCTTGCGAACACAGGCAGGTCAGAACTCGGGCAGCAGCAGCAGAAGTCTCCGGCTGAGGAACCGCAGCAGGTGAATACCATCAGAGTGACCTGTCATCCAGACTCTTTGGAGATTGTTATCAAAGCCGACATGTTTGCGGTTGGAGTTCCTGTTGATGGAGACGAGATACGCCTTGGAGAAGAGAACAACAACCAGTACTGCAGAGCTACAGCGTCTTCAGCAGATGAGTACAGTATCAGTGTTGGACTTGTGGAGTGCGGCACCAGACACTGGGTAACTTTTAAATATATTTCATTTCAAATATGATTCATTATAGCTTCTAGTTTTAAACACATCTACTCTCCACAGGTAACTGAGGACTCTCTGATCTACACAAACCTCCTCATATACTCTCCTGAGGCTTCTCCATATGGTGTTGTTCGAATGGAGGAGGCTGTAATTCCAATTGAATGTCATTACGAAAGGTCTTTGTCTCTTTTTGTTTTTAAAGCTCACATTGTAAAAATCTTTGAATGATGTCTGTCTTTTTTTTTTAAATGCATGTTTTCTGTTTCTTAGGAAGTACAGTTTGTCCAGTTCTTCACTCATGCCTACCTGGATCCCCTTCATGTCGACCCAGGCTGCAGTGGAAATGTTGGAGTTTAACTTGAGAATCATGACAAGTGGGTTTTGGTAATTTTCTCATGTTATGAGTTGTCATGTCTCTATTTGCACTTAGTACTTTTTTTCTGTCCGTGTGCAGGTGACTGGCAGTACAAAAGAAGCTCTAATGTGTTTCATCTCGGTGAGCCCATCAGCATCGAGGCCTCGGTCAGACTTGGGCATCACATGGGGCTCCGAGTGTTTGTGAGCAGCTGCGTGGCTACACTGAGCCCTGACATGCACTCCAGCCCCAGGCATGCCTTCATTGAAAATGGGTAAGGCTGCAAATTGCTAAATGGCAAAAAGGAAAGTATTTTTCTGACCCTAGAGGGAGCTGTTTAATGTGTAAGGCTGTTCAAGTGGTTTAATTCAGACACGAGCAATGCTGACTCGAGTGACAGGTTAATAAAAGATCAGTCCTTTAGTGTCGTCTTCAAGTTAGCCATTAGCTAAGGCTAGCTGCAGTTTGCTTTTTAATCTTTGGTATTCTAGTTCTTCCTTTCTGTGCCACTATTGGCAAATGCACATGTCAGATTTGTGCAGTTCTAACTCTAAATAACTACTTCCAGAACTTGCCTATATGACTAGAAATGTTAGTGGTGCATTGTCGGTAATGTAGACTCTGGTTATAGTAGTCAATGAGTGCTAATTTAGTGTTGCTCTTTTTGTTTTTCCTCATACTGTAGGTGCTTTGTTGACTCTCAGCTTCCAGGCTCAAGGTCTCAATTCTTAGCCAGGACACAGGATGACAAGCTCCACATGTCCATTGATGCCTTCAGATTTTATAATGAGGACAGAGGGGAGGTGAGGCTCTATTCAATTGCCTTAAACATGATTGTGTGTGCATGTTTCCCAACACCTGCTTTTCTCATAGCTCTACATCACATGTCACCTGAATGCTGTGGCAATAAATAACGCAGATGCACCAAACAAGGCGTGCACTTTTGTGAATGGAAGGCAAGTGAGATCCAGCCTAAAATATTTCAAATTACACACAAAAAACAAAGTATTGGTGCTGAATGTTTTTTTATTCATCAGATGGCGGTCCGCTGATGGTAATGACTACTTATGTGGGCAATGCAAAAGACCAATTGGAGTTGCGCAAACTCCCAGTAAGCCCAGCAGCCCGAGCAAGTTTAGGCCTCGAGGGTTTGTGAAGCCAGAAGAGCGTGAACCCCTCTGGAGGAGCGGACTGAAGACCAGTCCAGGTGGGGTGCTTGGAGAAACTTGTATGATGAATATTGGCTGCAGATGTCGTCATAATGATCAATTGTTTGTGACGCATGTTTTTGCATAGGTTTTAGACATGATGATGGCTGGGTAACTGAATTAACATGCATTGTGCTGGTTTGTGTTAGTGTGGGAACATCAGGCCAGAGTGGGTCCGATGATGGTCTTGCCAGCCAAGCAGAAAAGCCAGCCCATACCTGCAGAGGAGCGTTCTTCCATTCTTGATCAAATCGGCAGATCTACAATGTATGGCAGCCAGTGGAGGAGTGGAATAAACGGAGTTGGTAAGTCAATACCGGTATTCAATTATTCTCTGTTCATTTGAAGCCTTTAACAATCTCTAAATTGAGATTAAAATGACCCATAATGAAATCTTAATGTTGAATTGTTTTTCTGTCAAAGATCAGAGGAAAGGACTGCTTCCTGATTCATCATCCACCCAAAACCAGGTGGACTTTCTGACTTTAGCTTCTGAGCAGAATGAAGACGAAGAAGACAAAAGTGGAACAGAAAAAGGTAAAATGTGAAAAGTCTTAACCCTTTTTTAAATGGCACTCTACAATGCACCTTTTACATTAACACATTTATTCTGCGACTACAGATGAAGATGCTGAGGAAATTCCTGAACTTCTAGAAGAAACCTCTCCTGAGGCCCAACTGCAGTTGAAGGCAGTAGTGCTGAACAGTACCAACACAGCGGCGCTCGATGAAGTCTTCCAAACTGCTGCGGTTAATGTGGCTGTGCCCCCACTGTCCAACACCACTGCAACAGAATCTGACCTTTCTGAAACAATGGACTCAAAGAGATAATAAATTATTCAAATTTTAATTTGTTTGCTTTTTAATGTTGCAATACACAAGGAAAACTGATGACCTGCTCACAGCTAAAAACAATTAACAATTGTTTCCTAATTAGCCAAAGTATTCCATATAAAGGTAAACATTTAGGGGGGACCCAAAATTGCAATTTGACATCCATGTTCCATGTCTTTTCTTGTGCTTGTCTGCTGCTAAAAATGGTACTACAACATGGCATTTATTTTCTGGGGTGTCATTTGCTTTAGTTGCAACAGCTGTATAAAGGTGATTTATTGGAGGTCAGCCAGTTTATATTTGAACTTCAGTTGCTGCAACAAAGCCTTTGTACATGAGTAGCCCCTTTTTAAAAGGGGAGTTACCATGGGGGCCCTGGCAATATAATGACCTGAACATTAAAATATAAACATGGTCTCATAACTTTGTGTCCAGGCCCATTGGGTTTTTTGACTGGAGACTGAATTCTAATAGAGTACCCAGACCTCTACTAGGGTAGTCAATAGCCGCGTTCACACCGGAGTACTTTCACCGTACTTTTCGCGTTTTAGTTCCGTGAGTCGCGTTCACACCAAAAATCGTACTTAATCTCGGGTACTTTTACCCCCATTTTTAGAGCCAACTCAGAGAGCGTACTTTTCTGTGGGTGAAAAGTTCTCAAAGTGCCCCAGTGCTGATTGGCTGGGCGAATTGCAAACCACGCCCGTACAACTCTGAAAATGTTGTGTAGAGCCGCCATTGTTTTTCCTCGCTACAAAAACACAACGCTCCGTGCGTTGTGTTTGTTTTTGAAAGCAGTTATGGCAAGCATCAAGAAATGATGAGGTGTCGGCGCTTCTGGAGATCTACGCAGAGGACGCGACCCAGGGAATGCACTGAAGCCAGTTCAGTAGCTTTCACTCGACCTGGGAATGTGCACAGCCCCACGGCACACCGGCTAAAAATAAAGAAACTCGGGCAGGACTACAAACGGCGGATTCAGTGGCCAACGATGACGACCGCGACGAAGGTAAAATCAACTACATGCACTGGGGTTTTAATCTGCACAATAATGGTCTCAGATGTACTTTTATTTGCTCAGTAGATCAAGCTAGCCATGCTAGCCATAATAGGCTAACACTGGCCCCGAGCACACAGTACACACACACTGTAACTTTGTCTTGAAAGAACGTTACGCATCGAACTGATGTTCACAATCATGTTTATTTCATAATATTCATCATATTTTATGTTTAACTTGCCTCAACAACATTAAACAAAGTTCAAGCATACATGAAGCACTCTTCAAAAAGGAACAATCCTCCGTGTTTGAACCTCTTAAATCGCTGCATAGCCGATTTATTTGGACTGGATTATCCCAGAGGGTCTAAACATTCTTTATAACACAGTTTCAGATTTGTGAAACCTTAATTCTATTTGTGAAAATAAAAAAAAAGGGAGATTTCAGTGCTTTTTTTACATGTAGACCACATTAGACCAGGTCCTGATCTA